GACGCGCGCAGTGCCGCGCGCAGCTTGGTCGTGTCCTTCTCGTCGATATCGCCGGTGGCATAGAGGATGTAACCGGCGTGGCTTCCGTTGAGGTAATAGCGGCGCCGGAACAGCGTCGCCGCCTCGTTGAGCAGCGCGGCCCCGATCGCCGAGATATACCAGGCGCGCCATAGATCTCTGGTTGATATCCGGCTGCATGATCTGCACCACGGCACCGGCGGGATAGGCCACCTCAGGGGAGCTGCCCGGCACATACCAGAACACCCCGGCTCAACGCCCCGCCGCATATATTTGGCGGGCAGATAGTCGAGCGGACCGAGGCCGCCGAAGCGATTGGCGATCTGGAGCAGATAGCATTCGCCAAACACGAAGTCTCGGACCGTGCGCTCGAACACGGCGCTGGAAGGTAGGGGCGTCGCCACCACCTCCGACACGACGATATTGCGCTTGAGCAGGATCGCGCTGCTATGATGCGGCGATGTTGAACGACCGCGCTGTGCCCCTCGCGCGACAGGGGCGGCTCGTACCAGCGATCGTTGCGATAGACCCGCAACATATCGAGCAGGCTCCGCCGATCGAGGACCGATTCAGCTCTCCGAACGTGAACGCCTCCACGCCCCCTGATCCGCGACCGCAGCCGCGTTCGTGTCGCCGGAGATAGCCATACTGGCCGCCGAACTCGTCTCCGATGCCGTCATACGCCGGATCTTGGTCTTCTTCGTCACCGATGATCTCCATCCGCGTCTTGGGTCCGGGTCCGACCGTCGAGCGGCTCGTTGATGAAAATATGTATGGCGGCCCACGCCATGTGTCGGCATGGCCGGTCTCGTCCGCCCTGCTGGCCTTCTGTGTGATCGCCTTGCCGGAGCGGGTCCCGCGCCTTCTTGATCGACAGGAAGGCCGATTGCAGGTCGGTCCACCCACTGTCGAACTCGACTCGGCTGCGCGCGATCGTGTGCTGCGCCTTTCATGACCATCTGCGCCTTGGCCTCCAGCGAATACTGGATTTTGACCACGCCGCGATGCCGGTCGCGGATGAGCTGATAGACGCTGGCACCACGCCCGACGCGTCGACGCCGATATAGGTGCAACCAGCGCTTGAGCCGCGACAGGATAAACTCCGCCTGTTCCCGAAGTCTGCACCGCGAAGCTGATGCTTTTCGATCAGGCGGAACTTGCCGTTCGGACCATCGGGCGGGATCGCGATGACCAGCGCCGCATTGTCGCCGTCTCGCTCTCCCTGCGGGTCGTAACTGGCCCACACCTCCCGATCGCCCACCGGCCGATCGGACAACAGGTTGATGTCGCGCCAGTCGACATCCGCGTCGACTCGTGCAGCGTTGCAGCTCGTTGAACTTGAAAGCGGACAGGCTGTCGTCGACGAACTGGCACCCATAGAGGTTCGCATATTCGTCGGGCGTTCTCGTCGCGCACCTCAGCCAAGTCGAACAGGTCACACCCCTGCTCCGCCGCATCCTCCAGCGTGGCAGCTGTGGCGCCAGATCCGATCGGCGCCGAGCGACCGCCCTTCAAGAGCGTCATAGCTGACATCGATGGCGACCTGAGCGTCCTTCTTGCGCCGGCGATTGAAGCGCGACCCGGTCCACAGTGAATAGGCCGGTGTGCGACGGTCGACGGCGTCGACAGATAGGTCTTCCGCCAATGCTTGTGGCTGGCCATCGCCTTAGGACCTTGTCCAGCTCCTCAAACCCATAGACCCAAAAATTCGTCAAAATAAAGTTGCCAGAATAGGCCTGCCGCCGTCCGGGCATTGGTGCCGAGGAAGATCAGCTCGGCGGTCGGCTTGTCTCGGCAGTCCCTCCGCCGATACGACGATCGGATCGCCCTTCAGTTTTACGCCAACCCGCGCCGCAAACTGAATGATGTACTTTTTAAAGACATGCGCCTGATTTTCGATGCCGATAGGAATATCTGGTTGCCGCCACCTTTCAGCATCGAGCAACGCTTCCCGCGCGAATGAAGGTCGCGCCGGATCTGACGCGACTTAAGGACCATGGGTGCGCTGATGGCGGTTATCCCACCACAATTCATTATATTCGAAATTCTCGGCGTGGAAGATTTCTTCCAGCCGCGCGATCTGCTCGCAGGTGAAGTAGTTGGCGGGCGCGTTCCCTTTACGCTCCCCGGCGTTGCGATTGGCGACCTTCTCGTTGAGATCGCCTTCATGACCGCCCGGTGTTGGTATCGCCGCACTCGTGCGCCCGCCACGACCGGGCGCATCAGGGATCGATCTCCTTGAAATCGCCGCCCGTCTTCTGCTCCTTGGCGATAAGGGTATTGAGGCGGCACTCCGAGCGCGTCTTCGATCTTGGTCAGCGACGGCGCTTCGTCCCACCGGTCCCGTTGTTTCCAACTCTCGACCGTCGCGCTTGAGCCCCAGCTCGTCCGCGATCTGGGTAACGCCCCACCCCGCCAATACAGGCTTTCGCGCCCGGCGTTCTTTGCGTCGACCGGGATCGGCATCGTCAGACGCGGGCAGCGGCATGTCATGATCGGGCGGGAGCTTGTCCATCGCCGGCGACGGTAACCACCGTCGATCGCCGCCCGCGCCGTCCTGCCCTGTAGAGCCTCTCTACAAAGAGCGCCGCGTTGCGCGCACGCGCCCCTTGCGCCCTGTTCGGTCAAATCGGCCCGTCGAGGGCGGCTATCAGGGGATCGCAACAGCGATGGGCACCAAGAGCAGTTTTTCCGCGCCGTCGTCGCAACACGATCAGCGACGGCCGGACGATCACCGCCGGCATGAATGGATCAACCTTCAATCGCGAGACGTACAGCCCGCGCATCAATGTCGAGCATATCGCCGGCTATAGCCCGGAACCGCCTCTTCAACGGCTATGGCGATCATGCGGTCAAGGCGCGGACATCAGATCGATCGAGCGGAAAAGCAGGAAAAAGCGCCGCGCCCTCTACCTCCGTCGACGCCACGACCAGCTCTCCTCAACCTCGCGGCGAGAGAACCCCTACCCCTCGGTCAGACCGACCCCTCATATGCCGGATGCGGCAAGACCAGGATCGTGGCTTCGGCCTTCACCGACAACCCCGCCTCGATCGCGACCCGCGCCGGCAATTTTCGCGCTCCGGCGCCCGGCACCTTCCATGCGCACGGCGCCGAGGCGGTGACGCTGGAGTTCGACGCGCCCCCGCTGGACGCCAGCAAGGCGGACGGCGCCATCATAACTTCTTCAACACGCTGGCGTCGAAGTTCGGTCGCACCGAGCAGGAAAAGCCCAGGACGAACCGAAACCGAAGCCCTGCCAATGACAATTTCGACGCCGGCAATTTCGCGGTCGAGATGGGCAAGACGGTCGCGCAGTCGATCTCGGCGGCCATGGCGCCCCTCGTCCGGCCCAACACCAAGCTGACCGCCGATTTCGCGGCCCTCCAGCCAAGCTGGAGAAGGAACCCGTCAACACCTTCTCCGCGATCCCGCGACGGGCGGCAACACCACCGTCCTGACCGATTGCTGATCGGTCGCTCTTAGCCCCGCCTGCAGAAACAGGACCCGCCCACCATGCACAACTCCACCGCGTCGCCTTCAACGCGATGCTTGGTCAGATCGCCTCCATCAACGGCATCGAGGTCGATGTCGTTCGTGGCGAGAAGCAATTCTCCGGTCGCGCCTCGGTCAGTTAGAAGCTGGAGGAGGGATCCAGCAGTCGAGCGAATTTCAACCAGATCAACATCATTGCCGGTCGATGCGCAGGAAGGCGCAAAGGTGGGCCTCGGCGTCAACCGCCCGATCGCCAGCCGCACCCTCACCAACAGCGCGACCGGCGTGAAGCGCAAGCCGATCGATCCCACCGACACCGGCGATCGGGGCCGCTACTTCGCGCACAGACCAACTCCGACACGGCGATCAGCTATGGCAAGCTGGACATGTGGGCGCACAAGCCGGAGTTCCAGACGCTCTATCAACGCGATCGTCGCGCAGCAGGGGCGCGACCGGATCGGCGATCGGCTGGAACGGCGTCTGCGCGCTGATACCACCGACACCACCGCTCATCCGCTCCTCCGGGACGTCAATTTCGGCTGGCTGTACAAGATCCGCTAATTCGCGCCGGCGCGCCACCGCGGGCGGAACGCTGACCCGCGACCCGCGATCCCGTGACCGGCCGCGACGGTCGGCGGCAAGATCTACGTCGCGGCCGGCACGCCGCCGGGTGTCGATGTCGACTATGTCAACATCGACGCGCTGGTCTATGACGCGATCGAGTTGATGGACGAATGGCATCGCGACGATACCGATATCGTCGTCATCGTCGGTCGCGACACGGGTCCAGACCGCTTCCTCAACGTCATCAACGCCGCAGGCGATCGTGCGACCGAGATCGAGGCGCGCGCAACCGCATCCTGACCCTGCCGAAGCAGATCGGCGGCAAGACCGCCGTGCTGGTCCCGTTCTTCCCGCCGAACGCCATCTCGTCACCAAGCTCGAAAACCTTTCGATCTACGTCCAGAACGGTTCGCGTCGCCGCACCATCCGCGAAGAGCCCGACTTCAACCGGTCGCCGATTATCAGTCGGTGAACGAGAGCTGCGTCGTCGAGGACTGCGGCTGCGCCGTTCGTCGAGAACATCCAACAGAGCAAAAGCCGGCGGGCTAACAACAACCGCCCCGCTCTTCCCCTGCAGCCCGCCACCCAGACACGCAAATGAGCCTCGCTCGACAGAATCGCACTATGTATTGTCGCTAATCGCTGCAAACGGTGCGTCCGCTCCCGGTGGCGGGCTCACCCCTGCCGATCTCCGCCGAGACCAATCCCGGCACTCCGGCTGCCGAGGTCGCAGCAAAAGCAGATCATGCTTCGCCTGACCCACGATCTGCGCCGGCTGAAGGATATAAAGTCGGTCGCCAACAAGATCGCCGCCAAGCGCGAGATGGTCCCCGAATACGCGCCCGATCGAAGGCGAACTCGCGGCCGGGGAAGCGATCGAGCCCGGCAAAATCGCCATCGCCCGCGACCGAGGTCCTGCTGACCGTCATGGTCTGGCCGATCGACATCGGGAATGGCCGCTGGCGCTGCGCTCGCCTCCCATGTCCTGCGCCATGACGTGCCGCTGCCCGCCCGCTACGAACGCGACGCCCCCCACCTGATCCGGAGGAAGTCGCCGAAGCCGCTTTGCGCGCGCAGAACGCCGGCGGCGCCTTCCCGCTCGACGTCCTGCAACAGGTCGAGGAGCTGGTCGACGGCGTCGACATGCACGACCAGCCCCGCGCCAAGATGCGAAGGCGATCGGCGCCGAACTGGTCCGCGCCTGCGAAGCGCTGCCTGACGGCTCGACCGATCGGACCAACGTCGCCGCCCGCGCGATCGAGCATTTGCGCCGGGCCTTCGCGCGCTGGATCCGCGCATCGGCGTCAAGACCGTCATTCAGCGGTTTCGAAAAGTCGCTTTGCTTCCCGACCGAGCCTCTCCGTCCCGGCCGGCGTCGACGGACCGAAGCCCATCCTGCTGCCCCGGCGGTCAATATCGCGGACTCGGTGTGGCCACGACCGCGAAGGATGGGAACGACGCCACCCCCCGGAGAAGTAAGATGCGCCTGACCAAATTTTGCCCTTTTGCCTTGCTGCCCTGTAGCGCTCCCTTTGACCGCCTGCGGACCGACCGCGCAGGAGCGATGCGCCGGCACCAAGGACACAGTGACGTGCATGGCCGTCGCCAATTCCGGGCGGTGACGTTGCAGGATTACCTGCTCGGCGGTTCGGCGGGCTCGCGCTGGCATCGCAGATCTCGGGCGGTTCTCGCGCCCGACCGTGATCCATCAGGTCCCCAGCTACGGCGATCGCCGCCCCGCCTACCACGGCCCGCTGCGCGCAAGACGGTGACCACGACCACCCGCAACAGCCTTTTCGGCGGTCGCAGCATCACGCGCACGACCACCACTTATCGACCGAGCTACCGCTCGCGTCGCTGACCCGCTCGCCCCCGGCGCCGGGGGGGCGGCGCGCGGCGGAGGGGGCTTCGGGCCTGCGGGCCGCGGACCCGATCCCCACCCCCGGATTGATGAAAGCCCGCTTATGCTCCCCCACCGCCCTGATCCTCATCGCCGCGATTTGCAGTGGCCGGGAGCATGGGCGGCCTTTGCCGGCGCGCGCTGGCGCTGGCCTGCCGGCTCGATCCCGCCAGCATCGGCTTGCCGGCGATCACCGCCCTCCCGCCCGCTGCGGGCTGCCGGGCGCTCTTCGCGATCGGGATCACCCCTGACCATCGCCGGATCCGCGCTGGCGGTCTGCGCCATCGGCGCCGGCGCATGACCGCGACCTTATCCCCACCGTTCTGCGGCGATCCCGCCCCGTCGTGACGGCGCCCGCGCCGATCGATACCGGCGGCTGTTTCCGCAGATCGATCCCACCCTGTTCCGCGACGAACAGCGCGTCGACGCGAACGCGATCACCGACGCCCGCGTCCGCCAGGCGCTGGTCATCGCGATCATCCGCGTCGGTCGCGACCTGAAGGACTGGCGCACGGACGAGGTCGCGCGGGCTTCGCGACGCTCGACCCGGTTCCCGCTGACAAGGTCGACGGCGTGTCGGAGCTGACCGCACTCTATCGCCGCGCCGTCTTCACCGCCGCCAAGGCGGAGATCGTCGAGCGCTTCGTCGATGTCGACCTGACTGGTCGCGGTGAACGTTCCGCCGATCAGCTCGACCCGACCGTCGCCGAGTTGCGCCGCGATTCGGTCCATGCGGTGCGCGAGATCCTCGGCGTCGGTCGCATGACCGTCGAACTGATCTGATGGACACGGTTCGCGCCCGCGCCGGCGACACGCTCGACGCGCTGATCTGGCGCGAACGCGGCCCTCGGTCCCGACGATCTCCCGCCGTGCTTCAGGCCAATCCGGCGGCCGAGGGCTGGGGCCCGTCCTGCCGATCGGAACCCCGTCATCCTCCCGACACCCCTGCCCGCCAACTGCGTGCGCGATGTCGTGCAACTCTGGACCTGATCCCGATGCCCAAATTTCTCCACGATCTCACGGACGCGGTCCTCGCCTTCCTGATCGCGCTGGTCCCCGGCGCGCTCGGCGCGGCGGTCAGCCTGGTCTATGAAGAGGGCTGACTGGTCGCGGCGCATCACGCAAATGATGGTCGGCATCACTGTCAGCTATTTCGCGCGCACCGCGCACAGCCTGACCGGCTGGGACGATTATCTCCTCCGGGCGGTCGGCTTCGTCGTTGGCATGACCGCCTTCAAGGCCACGCCCGCCCTGATCGCCGGTATCGTCGAGCGCGCGCCGCTCCTCGGTCCTGATCGACCGCCTGCTCGGCAAGAAGGGAGGCGAAATGACCTACGACCGCGCCCGCCTGGCGCGCGAGATCGCGCGCGATGAAGGTGACAAGCTGATCGCTTACCACTGCTCGCAAGGGTTCCTGACGATCGGCAAGGGCCGCAACCGGAAACGGTCGGCATCACGGCGGAGAAACCGCCGCGCTCGGCATCACCGTGTCGAGCTGCATCGCGCGCGGCATCATCACCGGGCGCAGTCCGACGCCCTGTTCGCCAATGACATTGTCCGCAGCGAAGCGGATCTCGATCGCCATCTCCCCCCGGTGGCGCCGGCTCGACCCGTCCGCAGCGCGTCATGCCGGAATATGTGTTTCAACATGGGGATCGGCTGGCCTCCGTCGAAAACGCGGAAGGCAGGGTCTGCGCGCCTTCGTCAATACGCTGCCGAAGATCCAGCGCGGCGACTGGCAGGGTGCCGTCGCCGGGATGCGGTCCTCACTCTGGCACCGCTGTGCGGGGACCGTGCGGTCCGGCTGGAGGCGATGATGCTGGACCGGAAAGGAACCCCGATGATCTGGCTCCGCAAGCTCTTTTTGGCGGCCTCAAAGCCGAAGCGAGCTTCATCCTGCTCTTGGCTGTCGTCTGCGTCGGGGCACGGCAATATGTCCAGCCCGCCATGCCGAGCGCGACCGCGACGACGCGGTCCGCCGCGCCGAGCTGGTGTGTAGCGCCGTTGGTGTCGACTGGACCGAGAAGCATATGCGCGGCCCCGGCACGGCTGCGCGCAGCGCGCCCGCCAGCTCCGGACCGATCGCGAGGCGATCGATCGCGAAACAGCCCGCCTCCTGTCCGACGCGATCGAGAAACAGGCCGCGCGCGCCGAGGCGGACGCCCGCGCGGCGCGCGATGCCATCGCCGCGCGCGGGCCGCTGAAACCCGAATGGAGAAAGCCAATGCGGATGCCGACGCGACCAACCATGTTGGTCCTGGCTGGATCGCTGCTCTTAACGATCTTGCCGGCCTGCGCCGCCCGGCACACTGACTGGTCCCACTGGCGCCGGTCGCGGTCGCCGTCGAACCGCCCTGCCCGTCCGCCGATCTGCTCGCCTGCGCCGAACGCCCCACCGCCCTTGTCGAGGATCGCGCTGCTCGCGACCATCCCCGCCCCTCGCGCCGGGGCCTGATCGGTTTGGCGCGCGGCCGGCGTCAATGCTGACCGGCTCGACCGCCCGGGCCAACTGGGTCGCGCCGGGTCCTGCCCGGCAAGGAGAAACCATGACCGCGTCCACCATCGAACGACGCCGCGCGATCTTCGACGCGACCGGCGATCGTCGCCGGGGAGCAGTTCGCGCTGGCCAGCAACAACGTTGCCAGTGCCCCCGTCACGCTCTTCGGCGGCAATTATGTGCTGGCGCAGGCCTGCGCCAGCTATGGCCAGATCGCACTGCGCTACCGCGATCCCGCCGGTAACATGATCCAGCTCCTCACCAAGGGCGGTGCCGATGCGGGCGGCGGTACGTCCCTCCAATTCGCGGCCGGAACGTTGGTCGATGTCGTCCTCACCAACACCACCGGCGCCAATGTCATTTTGTCGAGGGTCCCCAATGCGTCAGGCAGGATCGCCGCGCTGACCGCGCTCCTGATGGCGTCCGGCCGATGCTCAGATCGTCGTCCGCCCCCGCGCCCGGCGCCGCGCTGCTGTTGAGCCCCGAATGGCCAGCCAGCCGGCGGACGGCGACAAGGGCCCCGCCGTGGGCGGTCGGGCCTATCAGCGCTACCGCGTCGCGGCCCCTGATCGGTGCTGGCGTCGTTCGACCGGTGTCGCGCGGCTCAACGGCGCACCGTCCGAAGCCAGCGATGTGGCAGCGGATCCGCTCTATGGCGATACACGGCTGACCATTACCCTCGCATCGTTCAACGCACGCCAGCTCCGCCCGATCGCGACGCTCGCTAACCCGGTAATCGCGACGGGGCAGATCGTCCGCATCTGGACGAAGCCGATCGCGTCCGTCGACCCTCGCCTCGATAGCTACAAAGGTCCGGCTCTATTCGGAGGGGAACCCGTCTTCCCCGGCGCCAATTACCACGAATACAACGCCTCCGGCCTGATCCGGAGAGGGGCAGAAGGAGAAAGGAACAGCGATGGGGATCCTTCACCGTCCCGGTCAGCCAGTTCGTGGCGGTGGGCAACGGCGCCAACCTGTCCGCGGTCACACGGGCGATGGTGACGATGCAGGCCAACACATCCTCTCCCATCACGATCGCGGTCGGCAACATCGAGCTGGTCGCCAATACGCTCAACAAGGCCAAGTTCATTATCGGCTTCCCCGACGATCAGTATCCCGGCGACGATCGCCTATGCGTCGCGCGCCATGGCGCGTTATGGTTTCCGGGGCGTCCTTTACCTGTCGCCAGCGATCGACGCCAACCGCACCGGCAAGCTGCCGACCTCGCAGATGAAGACGCTGCACGACAATCTGGGCTGGCAGATCGCCAGCAAGCGTATTCAGCACGGAAAAATAACACTGGGCCCGGCGGGACGGAGCTGATGAGTGCCGATCGGCGAACCGCCGAGACCGCGAAGCTGCGCAACTGGCAAAATGGTCTTGGCTCTGCGGCGGGTCGCATGGCTCCTATTTCGGCAATGTTGGCGCGACCAACATGCTGACCTATCCGATGTTCCGCCAGAACTACCGGTCGGTCCGCGCCTATTATTTCGGTGAATTCTCCATCATCGAAACGTACCCGTGGGGGCGATCCGATGCGGATCCGTGCCATGGGAGCCGGGGAATTCCAATGGGGCAATAGCGCCGCGATCTATACCACCTATTGGAAAACCATGTCGATCGCGCGATGGCGCAAAAGGGCGTCGGCTTTCGGTGTTCCACGACGGACTGAGCGGTTCCATGTCGAACTGGCGCCCGGCGTTCGACCAGACCTCGCCTATCTCGACGCGAACCGCAGCGCGTCGATGTCGTCACTGTCGACGATCTGGAGGTCCCATGAGGAAGGTCGACTCGCTGCGCGATCTGCTCGTCCGCGCCGTGCCGGCGCTGGCGGCGGATCCGTCCAAGCTCGCGATCTCGTCGATCGCGGGCAGATCATCGCCCGCGCCGGTAATCTCTCCTTCGAATATCGCTGCTCGGTCAACTTTGGTGGTCGAGGACTATGCCGGCGACCGTGACGAGGTGATCGTCCCATCCCCGGCTCGGATCGCGGACAACCAGCCCGAGCTGCTCCAGCGCCGGGACAGCCAGCCCTTCGCCTTCGAAAGCGAATGGCTGGCCAAGATCTCCACGACCTGTCGATCACGATCGAGCTGACCGAGCGCGTCAAGGTCGAACGGGTCGAGGGCGGCGTCACCACCGGAACATCTCGCGGATCTGCTCCCTGCCTGACATCTTTGCTGGCGCCGAGGGCGCCCGGCTATGGAAGGACTGGCGGAGGACCGGGTCGCCGGCGACGACGATCGCCGCCTCCCGCCCATGAGCGACGATTTCGCGCCGATCGAACAACTGGCGGTAATCTCCTGCGCAGCCTGTCGAGCGCCGAACGTCGCTCGCTCCTGCGCAAGATGGCCTGCGCCCTGCGCGACTCAGTCGGAGCGGATCGGCCGTCAGGAGAACCCTGACGGATCGCGCTACACGCCCCGCCGTCCGCGCCGCGAACAGCGTCCGGCAATTATGCGGTGAAGTTTCTCTATCGGGGACGCCAATCCCGCGCCCGGTCTTCATGAAATCATGGGTCCGCCAGAACCCCTCATCACCGGTTTCGATGCCGAGGCCGGGCGCGATCCGCTCCTTTTCTGGGACAAGGTGGATCGCTGGCTCCCCGTCGAACCCGAGGATCAGAACAAGGGCGCCGGCAAATTCCGCCGGCGCGGCAATATCCGCCGCCGGGCGATATTTCCCAAGCTGCGCTCAGGGCCTTCCTGCGCGCCGATGCGACCGATAGCGAGGCATGGATCGGTTTCACCGGCCGCGCCTCGCTGGTCGCCGAGGTTCACCCAGCTCGGCAAGATGGATGCACCGAAACAGGGGGACGCCAGATCCGCTACGCACAGCGCGGGCTCGTCGGACTGACCGAACGCGAACGCGCGATGGCGATCGACATGCTGCTCGATCACGTCGCGGGCGGCTGATCTTGTAGAGAGGGTCTCTACAAAGAGCGCGGGCTCGCCACCCCATGGCGGTGGCGACCGACATGGGCGGCGATGGTCGCGCTCCTCCACCACCGTCGATCTGTCGCGCCTGACCGCCCGATCATCATCGCGCCCGTCGACTATGACACGATCTCGCCGGGGATGATCGCGCGCGATCCTGCCCAGCTTCGACGCGACCGTGGACAGCGACCCGGCGGTCAGGTCCTTCGGTCGCCGCCTGCGTCCAGATGCTCGACCAACAGGATTTCAACGAACGCCCGGTCGCACGCACGGTCGCCTATGCGACCGGTGCGACGCTCGATCATATCGGCGCGGCGATCGGCGTGGCGCGTCTGACGTTGATCGCCGCCAACGACGCAACCGGTGCCCCCGCCGTCATGGAAGCCGACGATGATCTGCGCGCCCGCATCGTTCTGGGTCCGGAGAAGTTCGCGGCGGCCGGGCCCGAACTGGCTTTACGTCGCGCACGCCAGGATGCGAGCGCGCAGGTGCTGGACGCCAGCGCGACTTCCCCGGCGCCGGGGGAAGTGCTGATCTCCATTCTTTCTCGTGACGGCGACGGCTCCGCCTCGGCGGATCTCCCGGCGGCCGTTCGCGCGATCGTCACGGATCCGCAGATCCGGCCGCTTGGTGACCCGGTCACCGTCGCCAGCGCCGGCTTGGTCCCCTTCGTCGTGACGGCCCG